CCCCCCCCGCCTAGTACAGCAGCAGCAGAGGACGGCGACTGCACCCCGCCCCAAGCAGAACATTCAGCGTTCGGTCAATTCAGAAGCAAATACAAAACTCACTGTGAGTAACGTCAGGAAATCAACGGGAGGCAAGGCTTCTCAAAGCGTAGCGCTGCCTTGAGAGGACACGTGACTGCCTCAACCCCACCTGGAGGCCGCAGAGCGAACACCGGGAAGCCGGGGCCACCGCTAAGCAACAAAGGTGGGAGCCCTTCCTTCACAGGAAGATGCCAGGTTGCGAGCAGCTGAGCCCCGTTCTTCTTGGCCCCTAAGCGTCTCTCTTGCTTTGCGTTACGCGATGCTTGCATAACCCTGACACGGGACACGGTTACTGAGTTTCAGGCTGTTTAGCTAGCAGAAGTTTTGTGTGCGACCTTCAGATGTGGACAAGCAAATTCCAACATGTGGGTGCAGTTCCTCTGCTGAGCTCGGAGGGGCCCTGACTCGAGTAAGCACGGCTGAGGGGGCCGGCAGAGGGGACCGCTCCCTCAGGGCCTGGTTGAGCCACCTGCCCCCAGACCCTCGAGGCTGACGCCCTACACAGACCAGGCCAGGGGCCTGGATGCTCTCTGCTGCCTGTTCTCCAGAGAAACAGCCCTGGTTTCCAGAACACCACACTGGGTTTCCTTCACTTTTATGTTGGTTAGGATCCTAGAGAACTTCAGTCACCAAAGCACTGAAAGCACACGTTGCTGGAACGACTTGCCAGTTCAGAGATTCCCATCACATTACATACACGGTGTGTGCACGCGCGGAACTCACACACGCATACATTACATGTACATGTGTGTACTTGGGTAGCTTTTATTTGTACGAAACGTGAACTGCACAAAACACTACTTTGCAAGAATCGAGAATCAAGTCCACAAAGAGAGTTGAATGACATACCAACAGAAGACGGGGACAAGAGGGTCCATCCTCAGCGTGTGAAACCATTTCGGAACCGTGGACTTGCTAGCCTGCCGTGTCCCACGTGGGGTCTGGGTGACACCTGGGGACGCGGCCGGTCATGCTCACTGAGAGTCCAGAGCTGGTGGGGACTAAACGGCCCGTGCATGCCAATCTGGGTGCAGAAGTGATATGAAACATTGTTTCCCCTCTTTTAGGAAAAAAACCAAAAAGCAAAGTTGAGTCAGAATCGATCCCTTCCTGTGTGGCACTACGCTCATTGCTCACTTGCTTATTTTTTGCTGAACTGGTATTTGACTCTTCATAGCAAAACGGGGTTTATGGGAGGGATCGGTAAACAGGCAGCTCCTTTCACCGTGGGACGAGGAGATCGCGTTCTGCCGTCACAGGGCTCACCCCCACCCTCACTGACGCCCAGCGGAGGGGCGGGCGGCCGTGCGCGCGTGGCAGTGGACGCGCCTCTAGGAGGCCGGCTCGGGCACCCGCCTGTGGAAGACGGCCGACTGCCCCTGCTGGTACTGCTGCTTGCGCCGCCGCCGCTGGTCGCAGCGGCACAGCAGCAGCGCCTTGAAGGTGGTTCTGAAGGTCTTGTTGCACAGGGCGTAGCACACGGGGTTCACCGTGCTGTTGATGTAGCACAGCCAGTAGCCCAGGTTCCAGTAGGCCTTGGGGATGCAGCTGTTACAGAAGGTGTTCACCAGAACCATGATGTTGTAGGGCGTCCAGGTGACAATGAAGGCCAGCAGGATGGCGCTGAGGGTCTGCGCTGCCTTCTTCTCCTTGATCAGGGACATCCGCTTCCGCTTGGTGATCTGGCTCCTGGTCTTCAGCGCGAACCTCTTGGCCAGGGTGGCTTCCTTGAAGGACAGAGGCAGAGTGGCCGTGGTCTTGCCCACTGAGGAGCTGCCGTCCGGGGCCTTGGCGGCGTCCACGGCCGACTCCAACGGGATGGGAAGCTGGGAGAGGCCCTTCTGAAGGCTGCCCCGGCCATCCAGGCTTTTCTGGGCCTGCGGTCGGCCGGCTCTCCCCTCTAGGCCTGCTGCCCCTGGCTCCTCCCCGGGCACCTGCAGGCTGTCTGCCGAGGGCGACTTGCTGGAGTTGAGGAGGGCGCTGTGCCCCGGCAGCTGGAGAACGATGGAGTAGATGGCTCTGGTCTCAGAGCCCAGGTCCTCCTCGTCGGAGGAGGCGGAGTTTTCCAGGGAGGCCGCGGCGTCATTGTTGTTCCAGCTGTCGCTGCTGCTGTGGTCCTGGTCCATGTGCTCGGAGCTGGGCTTCCAGCTCCCGGCGGTGAACCAGAAGTGGCAGCGGCCGCATGTGCTCCTGGCCGAGGCTTTTGTGCTCGGCTGCTGAAAGTGGTAGCTGCTGCAGCTCCGGGAGCTGCCGGTCGGGTGGACGAAGTTCTCGGCCTCGGCCTCCGTCCCCGAGGCCTGCAGCCCAGCCAGCTCCTTGGTGCGCTTCTCCGTCTCCTTATAGATCCTCCAGTACAGCACGGTCATGATGGTGACGGGCATGTAGAAGGCAGCGATGGCCGTGCCGAAGGTGATGGTCGGCTCGCTGAGGAACTGGATGAAGCACTCCCCGGGGGGCACAGTTCTCTTCCCCACCACGTACTGCCAGAACAGGATGGCAGGGGCCCAGAGGACGAAGGAGACCACCCACGCCAGGCCGATCATCACGCCTGCCCGCTTTGTCGTTCGCTTGGCTCGGTACGTGAGCGGCCGTGTGATGGAGAAGTACCTGTCGAAGCTAATGACCAACAGGTTCATGACGGAGGCGTTGCTGGCCACGTAGTCAATGGAGAGCCAGAGGTCGCAGGCCAAGTTCCCCAAAGCCCATCGGTTCATGATGATGTAGGTGGTAAACAGATTCATCGAAATGACCCCGATAATCAGGTCGGCACAGGCCAGGCTGAGGAGAAAGTAGTTGTTGACTGTCTTCAGCTGCTTGTTGACCTTAAAGGACACGATCACCAGGATGTTGCCGACGATGGTGACCAAGGCCAAGACGCCGGTCAAGAACGCAATGAAGACGACCTGCCAGATGGTGTGGCCCCCCAGGGGGTCACTGGCCACACCATCTGGGGAGGAGAAATTCCCGGCTGCTTGGGAGAGGTTGTAGCTGCCAGAGTGAGTGACCGCTCCTGGGGGCAGCCCCCCATCCGAAGGGCTGTGAATCCAGGAAGTGCTGATGTTCGGAAACAGAGGTGAGGTTGAGCTGTTACTGTGCATGGTCATGGTGACTCTCTGACATGGTCTGGGGAGAGAAAGAAAACACAGATTCAGGAAGGTTGCTGCCTTTGGCTGATGTGTTCTCTGCCCTGCAGCCTACAAGAGAACAGGCCCTGCTCAGATGTGAGCCTGACAGAGGGGCCCACCAAGGACACTTGAACTTTAAAGGCTGCCAGCAGCACTTCAGCAAGGACAAGCACGTTAAATATGGGCGAGGCGTGGGGCAGGCAGCTGGCAGCAGGCGCTGAACGTTTGCTGCGTTTCCAGACCCAGGCCACACCCACTTCCACAGAACTTGCTCTCAAACCAAATCTCCCTTACTCCTATGACTTTAAAAAGAAGGGGGAAACAGTAGAGGCTTATATGATGCTCTTCCAGCATGGCTTTGCCATCCTGCTGCACGAGGAACTGACATCACTCATATGCATTTATCCACCTGGGTGCTGACCTAAAAGGCTTCAGACAAAGCAACTTTGAGGCAATTCCAGCCACTTCAGCCTCACTGGAAGGAACAGCATCGACCTGGAGCGTGGGCGGAAATGAGTAAGTCACTTGATGCTGTGTGATCTCTTCCCAGCACAGTTACAAGCAGTGATGTGCTGGCTCCTTTTAATGGTTGGTAACAGTCCATGAGGCTGCTAGTTCTGGCCTGTTAACATGCAGAACCTTTACCAGACTGTTCTGAACTGACCAAACCAGTTTGGAATATATCCAGTGTTTAGATATGTTACCTTTAGGTAGAAAAGCATTTTAGCACCACATGTGTATTTGCATATAAATAGTTGCCAAATTGCAAGTAGTTCAAAATAAGTAAGTAACTAAGAATCGTTACAATCACTGCATTAACAGGAAGATCCTCCTGTGCGGTCCTGGTAAGCCCTGGTTGAGCCCAGCTCAGCCGCTTTGAACCCCCAGGCTTGTACTCGAGGACACAGCTGGCTCAGAAGTGTTCACATCGCTGCCCTCTGTGGACTAGATGCAGTAAATCATCCCTCCAGGAGGGCCACTCGAGGAACTCCACTTTTCAGAATCACAGCGAAAATCTATTAAGAACACTTCTGCTGGGTTCAGGCTCTTGGTTAAAAAATGTTTGACTACACTCTCATGATGCAAGTATGTACACACGTATGCAAGGCAAGAGCCCTAGATCGAGCCTGTACCAGGCGTGCCGCAGCACCCCTGGGAGGACCGCAGTCACGGCGCACGGAGCCTCCTGGAAAGGCCGCAGGTGCAGCCGGAAGGCCTTGGAGTCCCAGAGGCACAGGCACACATCTTACATCAGCCACTTCCTAAGGGCGGGATCTTGGGTATTACTTAACCTCCTTGGGTTCCAGTTTCCTCTTAGAAAAATGGGAATGGAACATTCTGCATAGTGGAATAAATTCAATCTAGAATTCAACAGTAAGTGATCAGAAACTCTGTTTCTCACCAAAATGTTTTAATATAAAAAACAGACCAGAGCCTGCACACAGTGCCCGCCGTGCAGGTCTGGTGTCTGCTGTCACCGTTCTACTGCTCATCTCACCGAGCAGTGACTCACTTAGCCTTGGCTGCCGGGGTGCTCAGGGCTCAACTTGTGCCACCGTAAATGACAGGAGGGAGTGTTCACTGGACACTTCCCACAGGGCACACGTGTTGCAAACTGTCACATGCATCATCTCATTTAATCCTTAAAATAACATTATTTTCCTGGAAGCTGCAACCTAGATAGTTAAGCAATCTGTCCAAGGTTTCAAGCTAGTGAGTGAGGTAAAGGGGCAGAGATGTCCGCCCCCAGATAATCCAAGCCTACCTGAGCCTCCACGTTTGACCGTGATCCCACTCTGCCTCATCACCAGGTCATCCAGACATTGCAGACAACTAGTCCCTCCTAACTGGCGAAAGCTTCTCTTCAAAGTGTAATCGAAGAACACTTAAAAATTACGACATACTATTGGTCACCTGCAAGACAGTACACGTGCACTAGTGGCAACACTGGGAGGGAAGGCGTCAGCTTCACGCTGCTAGTACAGATGGAGCCTCCTAGTTCGCACTCGTTTCCAAATACAGGGAATTGGTGCCTTTTCTCTTCTTTAGCTCTTTTTACTTCTCTGGGCTTTATTAGGTGTCAGCTCATCTACATCTACGACTCCCCCTCAACGGGAGGATGTCCAGATTTGGGAAGTGCCACATGCCCGTGGGGTCCTCAGCTGCCCCAGTGGCTCCTCCGGAGGCACACATGTAGAAAAGCTATGTGCTGTCTCCCTCCACCCGGGTCCCAGCTGACACAGCTGTGAAGGCGTCTGCCTGGTGTCTCCCACGTGGCCCCGCTACCACTCCGATGACTGAGACCATGTTTGTCTTTACGAGACCCCTCCGCTCAACGTCCCGACGCGGGTTGACCACCGTTCTACTGGGGAGTCTAGGACACCTCTCCAGTGTCCTGGACCACACAGGTAAGTGTCACTCATCTCAGATCAGTATCACGTTTTCCTATTTGCATCATCACCCTTATTCATGCATTTCTCTTTTTCCTGCACCAGATGTTTGCTGAGTTTTTATACACGGAGTCTCCAGCTTCACGATGATTAGCCTGAAGACCTTTGGAATTTGCGATGGTGCAAAAGTGATATGCCTTCAGCAGAAATCGTACTTTGAGTTTCGGTCTCTTCTCCAGGTGAGGGCTACAAGTGAGGGTGCTCTCTTGTGAGGCCAGGCAGCACCAGCCACAGGTCCTGGGCAGCCCGTGATCACCAGGGTCGGCCACTGCTACACTTAGAGCCACTCTGGACCCAGACAACCACTCTGTTCCCCACTTCAGTACAGTAGTTAGTAAATCACATGAGACAGTCACCACTTTACCATAAAGCAGGCTTTGTGCTACATGTCTTTGCCAAGCTGAGGGCTAAGGTGAGTGTTCTGAGCACAGTTCAGGGGTCTAGGCCAGGCCACAATGTTTGGTAGGTCAGGTGGATTACATGCATTTTCAGCTGATGATAACTTACTGTGGGTTTATCAGGAGCAAGCCTATGGTGTGTTGAGGAAGGTTTGTACTCTGACCAGCTTTTATCTTCCCACCATCTTACACCCCAAAGCTGCCCAGACACAGCAGTTAGGTTTCCTTGTGCACCGTGTGGGCTGTGCTATGGCCCCTTTTAGATTCCTTCTCCCTCCTCCTCCCTCCCCACCCCACCCCCTGGTGTGCTCTGAATCTCCCATGACCTTCTATAGCACCGTTAAAAACACTCAAGGCAAAAAGAATATGAAAACATTACACACACACACACGTACATGACTGGGACATTGTGCTGTACACCAGAAATTGACACATTGCAACTGACTGTACTTCAATAGAAAAAAAAAAAAAAAGAAAAATACATGTAAGATGCTAAAAACAAAAAAATGCTCAAGGCACTTTCCAAGTCTCTACTCTCCTGCCACATGGGACAGAGTATGCGCTGCAGACTGTGTTTATCACCTACACCACGCTGACTTTGGTATAAATAAGTGTAATGGCTAAGAAAGCCGGAGCTTTGTATTTGTGCTGATGATGCATCAGTCTCTTCCATCTTTTTTCTCCTTCCTGTCAACCCCTTGCAGTGGACGTCTGTTGCTTGTCTTTCCTTCAGCTGTTCTTTTGGAAGAGGCCTGCCTCCCTGGTCTGTATCTCTGGTGGGCACTAATCATACGGTTCTGACCCCTCCCCCGCAGTGATGGCCCTGAGGGACCTGCACACAGGAGCAGAACTGTGGGATTTGATGTGGATGCGGGAGAGAGAGGGTAATTCTCTGATCTTTGGGAATCTTAGGTGCTGGTGACTCTATTTACAGCCACATGGGAAATCCGTGAAGCCAGCAAACACAGAAGAGAGGTGGGGGAAGGGGAGATGGGAGGGAATGCGTGGAACAGAGACATGATAATGATGTCCTTTCAAGCCTGGATCTAGCCATTCCTGAAGTCAACTCTGCCTCCTTGAACTTGCCAGTTATGTGAGCCTGGGCTACCTGAGAAAGGTCACTGTCACCTGCAGCTAAGTGGGCCCCTGTTAACACAAGCGCCATCAGCAACATCCACACTCCTCACGGAAGCACTGCTGAGGTCCGGTCACTCTAGCGGTGGCCCTGAATTCAGCAAGTCAGGACTCTGCCTTCCATGGACTCACATCCTGGATGAGCTAGGGAACATGGATAAAAGAATTTTAAGAAGCATGTAGTTTTTAGGCACTGTCAGATTGCTCCCTGCAAATAACATTATGTTTGTGCAAATTCAACAGCAACTTATTTTGCTCAGTTGACTGATAATAGTGAATAATATAAGTACGAATTTTAGAAATAAGCTTAAGATCAGTGCTGTCTTCTAGCTCATTTCTGTGAACCTTTAGAGCTCCAGAAATTGTATAATATTCCAGCCCAGTTATGCTCTGTGGGAATACAGAATATAAAAGAAGCCAGAACTGAGGAAAGGCACCTGCAGTCAGGACGAGCTTTCTACCGTGGCTTCATGCAACGCCTGCCCCGGCATTCCCAGGCTCTAGGGGTTTTCTGTAACCGCGAGAAAACCTGAGAATCACAACCTGTCGGGCGCTGTTTGACCCGAATTCTTTGGCACATCTAAAACAGTGGCCACTGTTCTTTTTCTAACTCAACCTTGATTCAATACATACTGTTTCCTGAAAGTTCCAGGTATTCAGTGTGCAACAGCGCTGTGTCTGCAGAAATGCACACACCTTAATTAAAAATAACGCTGCTGCAAAAATGGCACTAATAGACTTGCTTGACGCAGGGTGGGCACAAAACTTCAATTTATAAAAAATGCAGTGTCTGCAAAGCACAGTAAAGTGAAGTGTGTGAAACAAAGTATGCCTCTCCTGGCCTGAAGAGAGACATACAGACTGACGGAACCAGACAGAAAGCTCAGAAGTACATCCACGTACGTATGTCCCCTGGTCTTTGACAGGGGTGTCGAGAACACACAGCGGGGAAAGGACAGTGTCTTCCACAGGTGATGCTGGGAAACCAGGATGTGCACATGCAAAGGACTGAATCT